TAAACCATTGATAGGCAGGCTGTGGTGTGAGCTTGGAAAGGGACATGTTAAGTACCTGGAAGAGGTGGGACATGCTTTTCCTGTGCTTGCTCCTTTTTACCAGCCAGCTTACGAATGTGGAGTAACAATGGAAATTGTAGTGTTGCCCATTTGGAAGACACCTGGTCACTCTTGTTCTATTCTACATTGCTAATGCATGTGACCTTGATTGCGGCAAAATTCAGCCTGCGGTGTTGGATAGTGTAATGGTCGGAATTGCAAGACCATAGTCACTGTCATGCTATTGTTTGGATATTGGAAATGCATGCGACCGTAATCACGTCTTCATTCATTCAGGGGTGTCTGAGGGTGGGGCAGCGGAAATTGGAATGCATCCTATTTGCAGGACGATTGTCATAAATGTGTAAATGCTTATAACCGTGATTGTGGCAAGATTCAGTCTGTGAAGTCTGATTGTCCTTTTGCTCTCGCGTCTGCCGTTTGAGAAACCGGCACCTGACCTCAATTGTGAATAGATTCAGTCAGCAAGCAATTATTGTAGTCCATGCAATATATAGATGTTAAGACTCGTGAGTCAAAATGGAAAGAAAAAAAGGCTCGAGTGCTCGATTGTTCCCCCTTGCCAATAACCTGCCACGCCTCCACACCTTTTTTTTTTGGCTGTAGGTTTCACCCCTCCGCACCCTTGGTTCTTTTTGGCTATAGATTTCGATTAAGATAATCAATAAAGGAAATATACTCAGTGTGACTCGGATAGCTGGTGGTGCTTTGTGCCTTGTGTGATGTTCGTTCGTCCGTCTTTCTTTTTGCACTTGGGATTGTGCATTTTGGGCCTTGTTCCACCACTTGTCAGATGTGCAAATGGCATCTTGCCGTGTTCTAGTGCAAGGTACATTTACATTTTGACATTGGATGAGTGGTCACGCGAGGCCCGTCCTTGTGAGCTGACTGTCGAACAATACAGAGAAATTTAGTATGGCCCTTTTTTTTTACCTTAGGGGTGTCCGTTCCAGTTAGAAAGACTCTGTGAAAATGAAAGCTGTTCTTGATTGAATTCCTTTGTGCTTGGGGCTGTGTGACTAATGCCTCTGTAATGTGGAATATTTTTCTGTGCCTGCCTCCCCCCCCTCCCCTCCCTTCCTCTTCCCTCCCCTCCTCTTCCCTCCTTCCGCCTTTCTCCTGCATCCTTGATCATCTATTGCTGTGAACAGGTGGTTTACGACAGGATGACAGGCAGGAGCCGTGGATTTGGATTTGTGACCATGGGCTCTCTAGAGGAGGCGCAACGGGCCATTGATCAGCTGAACGGAATGGTGAGTGTCTTGTTCCTCGTTCACCGCCGTCTGACCCTCCTGTTTTCTTTGAATCCTTTCTAGTTTTTTTTGTTTCTGGAAATTTTGAACCTTTGTTTTTTTTTTGTTTTTTTTTTTTGGTGTGGCAGGGNGAGTTAGAGAGGGGTGAATATGAGGGTGAGAACAGTAGCAGTTGTATCAGTGCTTTCGTCTTTGCTTCCCTGTGCGCTCGGATTGCGATGCCATCTGTTTGTTTTGTCTTGTCTGCTCTTTTCTGTGGTTCTTGTTGATTGCTGTGTGGTTGTGCCCGTCTGTCGATTGATTATATGTTTAGTCTGTCTGCTGATTTGTTGGACGTGCTGTTCGATGTCTGGTTGTGCCTCGGTTTGCAGGAGCTAGACCAAAGGATTCTGAGGGTGAACTTTCCGCAAGTAGGGATGAGTGAAAGGCGTAGTGGAGGTGGCGGCTCTGGCGCTGGCGCTGGCTACGGTCAGCGCCCTCCCAGGGGGCAAGATAACCCGAACAAGCTGTATGTGGGTAACTTGGCATGGGGTGTGGATGACGTCGGTCTTCATGATCTCTTTTCAACTTTTGGAAATGTTGTCGAGGCTAAGGTGCGTACACTACTACACATCTCCTACCCCCTGCCCTTCCACACTCCTACCCCCTTGCTGTGTTTGTCACCTACCAGTCTGCATTCGAACAAGTCCTAGTGTGCGGCTAGCCTGAGGCCTGAGGCTGGTTTCAAGCTGTCGGAGGTAAGGGTTGGTCTGTGGCGGTGTATGCTCTGGCCGCATGAAGTGTTGATTGTGGTCGGTGGCCTAGTATATCTTCGTTTCAGGACAGATGCATTAAACTCAATGAACAGAAGCTTAATTGCTTTCAAGTTCCATGCAATGTCTTCCAAGCGTTGAATGCAAAACCATGGATCAATGGAAGCCGGGAATGGCAACGCACATGAGAGCAAATAGAGTAAACCGGAACAAGACAAAGAATAATGGTCGGGCGGTCGGGCGTGAGTAAACCACCGATTGCTCGGAAAGTTGTGGTTGTACGCCGAATGTGGCGGGTGGGTGGATGTACAGGCCTGCCCACACCAGGTTAAATTCGCATGTGATTAACCGCTGAAGTACTGCAGCGATTGCTGGGAAAGGCACTAGTGGTTTAAACCGCCACCGCCTATCACAGGCAGGTTGAAACACCGATATAACCTAGACCGTGTCCTTTGGGAGAATAGTGCTACGGGGCCAAGATGACTGGCGGTGGCAGCCAATACGAAAAGAAAACTGTCGTGGTGGTGCTTCAGCAACTCTCGGTGTGCAGTTGTTTTCCGCCTCGGCGAAAAGAAGTTCGGAGGTAGTGGGGGCTTAAGCCAGCCATAAAAAAATGGTGCCTTATGGGTCCTGAAGTCACTCTCCGCTTCTTCTCTGAGAGTCTTCTCCTTGAATATCCGCCTCACATCTCTCTGGGCTATGGCTGACTCTTCTCTCTCATCAAGGATTCCTTCTCATCAGCGTCTCCAGCCTTGCCTAGTCCTGTCCTCACTAGACCTTCCGGAGGTGTAGTACTGAAAGAGGGGAGATAATGCCACTGACCAATAATGTCGATGTCTTAGGCTGTTAGCTTATCAGAATTGTGTTTTTAACTTTGTATTTCGAATGCTTTGCACACCAGAGAAGAAACCGTAGAAACATCGATTTATTGAATTTGATACTTTTTGCTGACTGATGATGGACTCTGAATTTCTCCAACAATCTGTACGATATACATTCAGCAATCATTTGGCAGATTATCCAAATCCTTGGCATCTGAGCTGTGCGTATGCATAAATTGTATTGCCTCAGAGAAGTGCATGGTGACCTGTAGGGAGGAGGGAGAACAGGACAAGAAGCAGGGGGCTTGCATTTGGAGTATGTGGATTAATTTGTGTTTTGTGATTGCATTACGGAGTTATTAATTGTTAGTTCATTATGCGTTTGTTGCTGAGCAATTTCTGATTATCGGTTATTGTTATGAACTGGCTCTCCGTCTACCGGCCTCGCTGCACCACTCACCAGATTTGAAAACGACAAAACTATGGCAGCTTTCGCAGAATTGCTGTGTAGTGCTGTGAGGCCCTACAACGTATGATCCTCATGCATCTTTCGATGCGTGCCGGTGTGTCGTCCTCCTGCAAGTTATACCCCAAGCACGTCTTTAATAAGGAGTTGGTTGATTTCATTCGTGTAGCGGCATCTGGAATTGAACTGATGTCTGTGTTTCAATGGCTCATGGGTGTACCAACTGAAACAGTTTGCGTGCGTGGTGTCTGATAATGATGCCTTGGGTGGTTTTGATATGCGCAGGTGGTGATGGATAGAGAAAGCGGGCGCTCGAGAGGGTTTGGTTTTGTCACGTTTGAACAGGACGGAGAGGTTAATGACGCCATCCAAGGGTTGAATGGAGTGGTAAGTTTATAACTTCATGGGCCTCGCTGCACTACTCTCGAAATGTGCAAAACGAGAGTGAATCTTGCGCTAGAACTATACACCGCCATGATTTGTCTTTTGTGCATGTCGAGAGTAGTGCAGCGAGGCCCCATATCATACATTTTCCCCTGATCAGGTCCACAAAGGACAAAACTACCTTCTCTCCCCGGGTGCAAGGCCTCAGCAATATGACCCTATGTGGACTGGAACAGAGTCTGTTTACGGTCATGATGATGAGAAGGTAGCCCTCCCAGAATATGCCTGCGTGTGCACTCATCCCAGTAGTTGATCTGCAACCAGACATGCAGACTTTGTGTCCAGGGCCATTGTTGGTTGTTGGAGGTTGCTTCTGAGGTTTATGATGAGGATTTTTATTATGATTATTAATCATTATTGTTTATTATTATAATTATTGTTACTATTATATTATGGTTAATTTTATCATTATTAATTTATTATTGCAAATGGAGGTCAGGTGTTGCTATGGCGCTGCTCCCAAACATAGGAAGGGGCTAGAAAGAGGGGCCGAAAAGGGGCTTCAAGGGGGCTGAGGGTTTTCGTCTTCCAACCGGCTATACTCAGGGCTGTGTGGTGTGTCTCGAACCCTCTCACTCCCTTCCTCCCCTCGTTTCCTACCTTCCCACCACCCTACCCCTGTATCCCTTTGGTCCATTATGGATGTTTCTCTCTCTATGCTGTGGGCGAGTCCATCATAGGAGGGGTGTTGCAGATGTGCCGGGGTTGGAAACGGATGCGTGGAAGGGATGCCGAGGGGGCTGAGGGTTTTTGCTCTCTCGGTCAGCTGGATACTTAGGGGGATCCTTTCTCTCCATCTCTCTCTCTTCACTCCCACCCTCCCTTTATCTCTTTGATTGAACATGTTTCTTTCTCTGTGCTGGGGCTAAGTCCACGGGGTGAGGGGTGTGACAGACGTACTTGGTAGGGAAAGCACAGGGGAGGGTACGGTTGCGAACAGTGTGGGTTTGGTTTTACTCACATCAACCCTGCAATCCGAACAGACTGTCTGTCCAAAGCCCTGATAAAAATGACAGTAAGTTGGAGAAATTGGTGTATCACAGCATGTGCGCACGTGTGCGTGTGAGTTTGTGCTTGTGTGTGTGTGTGTGTGTGTGTGTGTGTGTGTGTGCGTGCGTACTGCCTGTGTGGTATATACTGAGCAACAACAGGCTTGAGCACGCATTCAGGATTTTGGTTTGTCCGTCTTTTTGAGGTTTTGATTCATTGTGTCTGCTCTTAATGGGGGTTGGCTCTTTTTCTCTGTGTTTCTCGGTTGGCCTACTGCAGGACGTGGACGGAAGAACGCTTCGCGTCAATCTTGCAAGCTCAAAGCCTGCTCGTAGTGGTGGATATGGGGGCAGAGGCGGCAGAGGAGGGTACGGTGGAGGCCGGGGCGACGATGGCTATGGGGATGAATGAAGCGAATGAGACCTCTTGAGAGACTCCAGAGAGTTGTTTAGTCAAGCTAGAGAGAGAAAATGACAGACATTGAGACTCATTGTTTTCTTTCGTTTGTTTCTGTTCAGTTTCGGTTTGACGCCCTTGAGTCAATGATCTAGAATGAGTAAATGTTTGTTCTGTTTGTGATTCCTTTGCCTCTTGAGTAGCGTTTAGTAAGGAAGGAGGAAGAAGGGCACACTGACCCTTCACTTTTATGATAGAACCGATGGTTCGACTTTACCAGCCATCCAGAGTTATTCCAGATCTGGTTTTGTGTCTTATAATACTTTACGCCGGGGTTTCGTGATCTCCCTGGAAGAAACACTTGCGCTTTTCTTCTTCACCATTTGGGGCGTGAATGCAGTCGGGGAGGGCGTTTAGTTGGAGAGGGACAGGGAGAGGGTGGTAGTCTGAAAATCTCCTTCGACTAGAGTTAGTAGATTGCTGGACAGTGCCTCGCCTTTATTTTGTACCAAGGAATGGACGAACTGGAAAAAGATGGTCATTTTGTACCAAGGTATGGACCAACTAGGATCTAGTGTCTTCTGCGGCAACTCTTTGAACACGTACTTGCTTGCTGTTGGAATAGCTGAGCTGATCCTTCTTTCTTCATGTTCTTTTTCATTGTTCTACATCAGCAAGATTGCAGGAGATTGCTAAAGGCACTGCTGCTCTCTCATTCTGACCGAAGGAGTCTCGGGTTTTAGTGGAGGATTCAGGAGGAACGAGTGGGTAAAGGTGCAGGAGAGGCTTGTGAAAATCTCGATTGAGGGAGAGTTTAGCAGGTCGCCAGCGTAGTGTCGCCTTGTCGGCGACCAAGGCGTGAAGAGTGTAAGGAGGCTACAAGGAGGAACTTGTCGTTCCTTCCTACGACTCCCGGATGTAGACACAGAGGAGCGCTTGATTGACCTTTGCCAGGTGGGCTGGCATAGGTGGAGGTGAGTATAATACTCTCTGGACGGAACTGTGTAGGATATAAGGATATACGAATGCACACTTGATTCAATTCTATGGATGGAATCGACTTTTTATCGTACGGTACGTTTTGCCGTAGTGTACGTAAACAGCTCTCCATTATACAGAATTGTTTGCTGTACGTAGCCGTTTGCGAAGCGGGTAGGATGCAACATGGCGTACCCACCTGCATTTACATACGCATTTGCTGGGGCGGATCTGACCTGTAGGGGGGCTGCAGGGTACCAACCTACTCGCGGGATTGCAATCGGACTCGCATCGGCGATGTACGATTGCAATCGGAGTTGTTGGCGAGGTACCAACCTGTCTGTACAGTGTCGTTGCACTCGTCGGTGGTGTAGAGATGGTGTGAGAGGGAGATCAGATACCATTGTGATGCTCAGGTGATTTGGTGAATTGCCTACATGTCCAAAAAAAAAAAAAGAGGGGGAAGATGCGAAGGGGGGAAAGGGGAGGCAGGATTACAAGCGATTTCGGCAATGTTGTGGATGGTAGATAGTCCACGGCTCCCAAGTACCACACAGCTTTTTCGCCTGTATTGATTTTTTTTTACACAGGTTCTTTTCCGTAATGGTAACCTCTCGCTCACTGGATGTACCAACAGGCTTTTCTTCAATGTATGGAATGGACACGAAGCACACACACACGTGCACGCTTTTATGGACTAGGTATAAGTAATATGCATGTATATGTATACGTGCAAGTGTGCCGCCTGGCCTGCAGATGGGTGTGTGGGCATTTGGCACTGAGCCACACAAACGTGGCCAACCTTGCATTTTCCATTAGATTAGCTATCTATAACCCCTCCCCCCACCCCCCCCCCCCCCCCCCCCCCCCCACACACACACACACACACACACACACACACACACACAAACAGAGAGAGAGAGAGAGAGAGAGAGAGAGAGAGAGAGAGAGAGAGAGAGAGAGAGAGAGAGAGATGGTTTGTGAGCTGATTGCAAACCTCGGGCTGTGGAAAGTGAGGTGTAAACTAACTGGTAACCTTAACTTGTGTAAACTGAGGTGAGCGCATGCATGCGTAAAGATCAGGATTGTGCCAAACTAAAACTGTTAGTAGTGAACGGTGTATGGTCTATTTTTCCCAGGTGCCCTTCCAGTTGTTGTTTCTCCAAGCTAGGTTTATATTGCACTGAGGTGTATTTTCTTTTTCTTTTTATTTTCTTTTTAAGATGAACATTTTTTTTTCTAAAATAGGGCAGGGAGCTGTGCCCGATGCTGCGCTGCATGGAACAAGAGTTCTGTTGTGAGGGTTTCCCCTGAAAACGGAAACCACTCGCGAGAGAACACTTTCAGAGTAACTGTTTCAGGGTGGTTACCTTTCAGGGTGGTTACCTTTCCCCCAATTTGAACCCTCAGAGATGATTTTTACCCTGACACAATGCGCCACCCTCACACCCTCTACTTCAAGTAGAAAGGTGATAGGAACTCCGATTAGACTTTCTCATATCTTGCATCCTAGTATTGTTCCCTTGACACCTCAGTTCTAGAGGTCATCTGAAAACGGATGAAGATAAGTCAAACGGAGTCTGACCCGAGTGCGAATACACTGGCACATAACCATACGTGCACTGTCATGCACGAAATAGCAAACTATGTGAAATCTCGAAAACTCGAAACACAGTCTTCAATAGATAAACTAGTCAACTCCACACCTGGCATATTAGACTAGCTATGGCATCCTCAACTCGTCCTCGCCGTCTAAACTTTCAGGAACTGCCGATGAAGAAGACGACTGCCTTATCCCGTACGCGTTTCGGCCGCCGCCAGCTACGGCCTCATCAGAGGTCGGTTTCGAGATGCTGTTGACGTTCCAGTTGCTCTATAAGTACCAATTGACTGACTTTTCGACTGCGACTCTACCTACCCTCGGGAACTAGCCGTGGCCCATTTTTTTCCCAGCTCCCTCTGGTCCCATTACGTCCCATAATCCGATTCTCGAAGGTCTTCTGGTTTCTCCCAGTCCACTTGGTCACCCGTTTTTTCGGTCTCACTGCCAACCCTCCTACCTTTCTAATCAGGTACTAGAAACCCTTTGGCAACGTCCTCTTTCCAAGTTTCATCGTTTCGTATCGTTTCGTATCGTTTCGTCCTCCTCAAACTGGTAGTTACGAACTACACAACCTCTGGTCCCATTTTTCCTCGGGTATTCATGCAGGCGAAGCCGACGTTTCAGAGTCAGTAGGCCTAGTCCAACTAGGTCATCTGTCGAAGTCATGTCTTATCTTACAAATTGTGCTCGTGATCACCGCTTTCTTCTGTCTGGCTGACGTGTACGAATCAAAAGCTTGCATGGTATGAAAGTTAAATTCTCCTTTGGAATCCGCCCACACACTCTGTGTTCGTCGGGTGAACATGACACGTCACCTTACTTCTCACTGCTACCACTTTCGTTCGTTGCAGAAAATCCCACACTCGTACCTTTCTCGGCCTTCTGGCTAAGATCAAGTGTAGTATCTGTTCTGATCAGTTTAATATCTGGTCCGTGGTCCATCGGACCCCACGATATTAAATTAACTTTTCTGGGCTACGGAGTGGTCATATGGGTAGGCTTGCCTGCTCGACCCTTCCAGCGTTGCCTCTGTATTGCACTGCAGCTGAGAGTGGCGCAGCCCTCCTCCCCTCCGGGGTAAAAAAAAAACAACAAAAAAAAGAAAATCCCACACTCCTTTCCCCTCGTCCGTCCTCTTCAGGGTCAGTTGATCATCATTTCAAACAATCTCATAACCACCTTTCTTTCCTCTCCCTTTCTTGCTGGGCACCACTGACAGACGAAAAGAGTCGCATCATCGGTCAGGCGTACATCCTTTACCAAATCTCTATCTGCCCCTAAACTTTTCAAAAACATAAATTCATTCATTGCGCACAGGATGCGTGCCAGCGGGGGGCTACTTCTTTTTCCCATTGGAATGCCAACCCGCTCTTTTAGCAGCCGCCCTGAGGCTACGACGAATGTACGGTCCTTTTCCTTATCATGAACATCTTTTTCCCTTTCCTTTTATACCAGTCCAGGATCCAATCCACGGTTCTCTGTATTGATTCGTGGGGCAGCTGGCTAAACATCTCCTTTATATCATAGGCTGCCCCATTCAATTCCGCTTTCCCTTTCTTCTCCACCCATAAACCACCAGTACTTCCTAGAGTCGTGCCGGTTAACGCGCCACAATTTTAGGAAACGTACGGGCTGCTACAGGAGCGCCCATAGGCATCCGACTAGAAACGTTTCTACTCTATTTTATTTTTTTCCGCGGCGGATGGCTGGGCCAAGTACTGGTGGTTTAACTTCCTCCACCCGCCCTTCTCACAGGCCAGTGGATTTCAAATAAAGGTGCATAACACTGCGTATCCTTCGGCAGCAGAAACAGCAGGGAACAGTAGGTGGTGTAACGCACATGCGATTCTTCCGCTTGCTGTTTCCGATGCTTCCGGGTATGACTGACTTATCGGTGGAAATCGACTAATATCTTTGAACTTCGGGATAGCTGTTTCTGATGCTTCCGGGTATGACAGACTTATTGGTGGAAATCGACTAATATCTTTGAACTTCGGGATAATAGTATATGCCGTTGCACATTTACCTTTCACATTTACCTTTCCCATCACGCTTCCCCAGACTATCCAACCTGCTGCTTTGTATGGCCGGTAACTCTTCTCCAGGATGTCCGCCTCTGTTTCCCAAACAGCCGCGGAACTTTCATTCTTCCAGAACATAGGGCGTCGTTAGACACTCCGGTTGAAATCCTCAAAGGGCAATAGGAAAGATTCCGAATGGTTCAAAAGGAAATTTGGGCCCGTCGTTCCGCCTGTCCTCTGGCACGTTGCCCGAGGGCAGTTCCTAAGAGCGATGTCAGAAAAGGAAAAAAGAAAGAGAAAGAAGAAAAACAGTTGTGCTTCATCTTTTGCGGTTCTGTCCTCTACCTGACCGTCTTTGCTGTGTCGTGATTCCAATCGGTCTTGAAAGAACCGGATTGACTGTCGTTATGTCAACTTCCTGTTGCGGAGTAACCGTCGTTCGAGTGTCATTCTGACAAGTAGGCAGTATGGCGTCTAACTCGGCTCCCCGTTCATGTTATAACTGCAGGCAACCTGGGCATCTTTCACGGTTCTGTCCTCTACCTGATTGTCGTTCCTGTGTCGCGATTCCAACCGCTCTTGAAAGAACCGGATCGACTGTCGTTATATCGACAACTTCGGCCAATGGGGTGCTGCCACAATCCAGATTCTCGGCTGTAACGTCTCTCTACGCGTGTGCCCTCTTCTCTCCGTGAAACACGGATTCCTTGCGCCCGAGGGACCTCGAGAGGTCCCTTCGGCAATAGGAAAATGGCTGGGGAAATTCCTATTGCCCGAGGAATTTCCTAACGAGTGTTTCCACCTTTTTTTTTTCCCCCGATAGTGTCCCTTAAGATAGGTGGAATGAACAATTCCTTGGGGATTTTGCGTCCCTGAGGAGTGTCTAACGACGGCCATAGTCTTCATCCCCTCCACTGTATTCCTATGTACTGCTGAACGTACTGAGTTCGTCAGTTCCTTGACCTTCCCCACTTCTCCCAGGTGATCTTTCCGGCTTCTCTTCGAGTCTTCTCTGACACCCCCTCTCTACAATATTCCTGTGCATTCTTTACAAACCCTTGTTCCAAATCCAGGTCCCTCAACTTCCAGTGAACATGACCTTCCACTTTTGGAAGGCAACTATCTGCACATGTGCAGATCCCCACCGTCCGCCAAAACTCAGCACGATGGCTGTGAAGAAGTTGGCCAACTGAGTGTTTTTTTTGCCATGTGATCAACAACTTCCGGCATGTAAATGCAGCTATTGCTGCATTGGAAGCGAAGCCAGAATTTTACCACTTGCTAAGTCCCTTACAGCACATAACGACACTTCGCGATTGAAGGTTGCACTGACACAAAACTGTTTTTTCAAATAAAATCCGAATTTATTCCAGATCACACTCGAAAGTAAATCTCTGAGTGTTGACCATGTTTCAGCTCTTGAGAAACATTTAACACCAGAAAGCAAATCCATCAGATTTTGAACACCCAACTTGTACACTTTTTCTTACTCCAAGGGTTTCTGATCACCTGATGTAATTGCCTCTTCAACTCCTACTTCTCGACAAAACTTTCGACTCCAGTTTTATTATCTCGAAAACCCTATCTTCTTCCCTTTTTTTTTTTAAGTCTCTAACCTTTCCTACTTCGTTTCCCCGCGCAACTGTACTCGATCGAATTTCCCGACTCACAACATTCCATTCCTGTCTCGAAATCCTTTCCCCTTCCGTATTGTATTTTTTTCCTCCCAACCACCCAATCACACTCTTCCACATGTCCACCAACTTCACGCTTCGTATCTCTAGACTATCTAAAACAATCGGCCGTTCGTTCGTACTTTACAGACCCTCCCCATCTTCTCCATTCTTCCTTTTTGATTCTTCGTTCTTCCCGACGTCTTTACTCCTTTTGCATTTAAAGTTGGCGTCCTCTTCTTTATAAATAAACTTTCCACCCTCTCCAAGTTTATTAAAGGAATGAAACAGATTGCTAAGGCTACATAGTTCGAATAACCCCAATGCCTAAACAAGGAGTACAATCGCGAATTGCAAGTCCCATCACTACACCCGGTCCTATATACGTGTTATTTCCACCTTGTCAACAACTTTTTCCCTATGTGGTACCCTCGGCTTTGGATCCCACGACCTAGGAGGTGGGAGAGGCCTTCCGACCGAGTTTTTCTGCGGGTGCGTCACACTCTAGCAGAACCGCGCACCCAAAATCGGGGTGCGCATCACCTGTGCATGGCCTTCCTGTCAGAAAAAAAACTAAAAAAAATCAAAAAAAAATGAAATGTGGAGGGGGGTCGTTTTTAGATGTGTAAGAAAATACTAATAACCACCCCTGAACAAAAATAAATGTTTTTTCTTTTTCCTGTTTGTTTCTCTCTCTCTCACTCTCTTATACATACACATGCACCAACCCACC